AGCAATTTACTTTGTTACCCGAATTTGCTTAAATTACTTGGTTGAGTACTATGATGCAGATCAAAATGCACTGAGTTGTTTCAAAGTAAAACTGACAAAGGTTACGTGAAAATTAGTGTGAAAATTAATTAGAAATTTTCATTCTGCAATTCTTAATTTTATATTTATCTGTCATCTTCGTCAGAAAGTTTAGAGACAGAGACACAGAGACAGAGACATAGAGACATAGGGACTCAGAGACATAGAGATATAGAGACATAGAGACACAGAGACATAGAGACACAGAGACATAGAGACACAGAGACATAGTGACACAGAGACACAGAGACATAGGGACACAGAGACACAGAGACATAGAGACAGAGAGACATAGAGACACAGAGACACAGAGACATAGAGACAGAGAGACATAGTGACACAGAGACACAGAGACACAGAGACATAGTGACACAGAAACACAGAGACATAGAGACACAGAGACACAGAGCCAGAGACAAAGATACAGGGACACAGAAGTATACCTAACATATTCTCATTGATATCTAATTTTCATCCTAATCACCAAATCCTAATCATCCTAATCATCAACCTAACCATCCAAATAATCTGCACCACAAATAAAAGTTTCCCCAAAATATCGATGCAACACCAAAATGTCGACCACAAAAAAACTCTCGATCCGCAAAGGTGCATCCTGAATAATGAATGACGCTTGGCAAAGCAATTATTTTTAAAGGTTTTCGGAAGCCAGTCCCCAAAACGTATCCCGTTGGTAATTTCCGCGTGCGAACAATACACGCGACAATTAAAAGCGTACGAACGGTATAAACAGCCACGGAAACGATATAATCACGTGACGCAAGTGGGAGTGCGTTAAATTACGTGTTCGGCCCAGAAATTATACGAGCGAGTGGACAGTCAACGAACACAGCCTCGCGCAGGCCGTTCACACCGCCGCATATTGCATTCTCATGGGACAGAAATCGCGAAAAAATTTTTCTGCAAGCGTTAATTCACCTGGTAGCGATATTTATACGCGTATGGAATATTTATACGTGCATGGAATATTTATGCATGTTTACGTTGTTGGATATGTTTATACATATTTATACGCTGGAGAAATACTCTGTAATATCTGCGTTCAAATATTTAGACCTTGTAATATTTATAGGGTGTAGTAAACGAGGTGTAGGAAATAATTATGGGCAGGAGATAAATATTTCAACAAAATATTTATACGTTCTAGTAAATGAGGGGTAGGGAAGAATTATTGTAATCATTAAATGTATCAGTTTTGTAAGCAACTCTTGATTCTGCGAATTTTAGACTTGAACTTCAAAATGAGACATATATGGACATTTTTTGAAACCTTGTCTTATGTTGTATTTGTCAGGTGCGTCAGAACTAATTACAGCTGCTGTATTAAGATTGTATAAAAGGATAAAAAGTTTCATTTTAAAATTTCAATTAAATGTATCAGTCCTGTAAGCAACCCTTGATTCTGCAAATTATAGACTTGAACTTCAAAATGAGACATATATGAACAATTTTTGAAACCTTGTCTTATGTTGTATTTGTCAGGTGCGTCAGAATTAATCACAGCTGCAATATTGAGAATCTATATACAGGATAAAAAATTTCATTTTAAAATTTCAATAAAATGTATCCATCCTGTAAGCAACCCTTGATTCTGCAGATTATAGACTTGAACTTCAAAATGAGACATATACAAAAAAATTTTGTAAGCTTGTCTTATGTTGTATTTGTCAGGTGCGTCAGAACTAATTACAGCTGCTGTATTAAGATTGTATATGCAGGATAAAAAGTTTCATTTTAGAATTTCAATAAAATGTATCAGTCATGTAAGCAACCTTTGTTTCTGCAGATTATAGACTTGAACTTCAAAATGAGACATATACAAAAAAATTTTGTAAGCTTGTCTTATGTTGTATTTGTCAGGTGCGTCAGAACTAATTACAGCTGCTATATTAAGATTGTACATGCAGGATAAAAAGTTACATTTTAATATATCAATAAAATGTATCCATCCTGTAAGCAACCCTTGATTCTGCAAATTTTAGACTTGAACTTCAAAATGAGACATATACAAAAAAGTTTTGAAACCTTGCCTGACTGTATCAGTCGTGCAAGTAATCCTTGATTCTACAAATTATAATTATAATTAAACTTGAACTCTAAATTCAGACGCATTCAAAATTCGGGTAAGATTACACTTAAAGCGCGAATGCGTCAACTTGTCAGAATCAAGGGGTTGAAATTTAGAATTTGAAGATCCAAAAACTGGGACACTGGTCACTAATGGCTACGAAGATAGTGTGACATTAAATAAATAAAATACCACTGCAATAACCCAGTTACAAGTCATATTACTATCGCGATTGAAAAAGTGTAGTCTTCTCGATAAGAGAGTAAAAAACTAATTGCATAACTAGTCTAGCAATTGAAACTTGTCAGACTCAAGGGGTTGAAATTTAGAATTTGAAAATCCAAAAACTGGGACACTGGTCACTAATGGCTACGAAGATAGCGTGACATTAAATAAATAAAATACCACTGCAATAACCCAGTTACAAGTCATATTACTATCGCGATTGAAAAAGTGTAGTCTTCTCGATAAGAGAGTAAAAAACTAATTGCATAACTAGCAATTGAAGTTTGATCTTCGAACATTCTTCCATCGATTAAGTGAATCGTAGAATTTACGATGTCAGTAACAAGCGGCGATAAAGCGAAGGGGTAGTTGCAATCGTATTTCGTTCGATCTTTAATTTTATTTTCAAATTTAATTGCTCGTTCACTTTAATCAGATATATTTTAGAGATAAGAGAGCAAAAAACTAATTGCATAACTAGCAATTGAAGTTTGATCTTCGAACATTCTTCCATCGATTCAGTGAATCGTAGAATTTAAGACGTCAGTAACAAGCGGCGATAAAGCGAAGGGGTAGTTTTTCACGCGACCATGCCACGCTCCATGAAGAGATCACCGTGTCACCGTGAAAGAATTATTCTCGTCGATTACGCGTTATCGTGGGCCGGTTCCCCGCTTCGCGATAACTCGCTATCTTAATACGCTCGGAGTACGCAATTATTTATGCCTCTGTTGAGTAAGATTGCGTCGTGCCGCGGCGTCGCGTCGTTCGCATTGTTTTCGTCGCGTCCTCTGCACCCGAGTACGCCTAGAGCCATTTTCCACGGCTATCGTCGATTTCTTCCGCCGAGAGAAATCGACTTTGAACTATCATGCAAATGACGGAAAAACGCCATACCGCGAATTATCATGAATATCCGATGAATAATCGCGTTTCTCTTCACCGCTTTCACTGATACCCACGATTATTAGCTCTGCACTTTTATACCGACATTGGCATTCTTGATTCTGTTATTAATTGCTCGTCTTGTGACATTTTCAATCGCAGTATTTTAATTCAGGGACATTGTCTGTACGCAGTATTTTAATTCAGGGACATTAGACTCTGACAGAGTTTGTTATAGCTGGGTAGTTTGAAATTTAGAGATAGATGTGCAGATGCAGGGATTTGAAGGTGGAGGGATGTAAAGATGTGGAGATCTGTAAGAATAAAGAAATTTGATAGAAGGAGGATAGAGAAATATAGGAATTTGGGGATGAAGGCTTTTAATTTAGGGACCTAGCGAATTAGGAATGTGGATATGAGGACTTAGAGGTGCAGAGATTTTGAAATCTGGAGACTTGGAGATATGGGAATTTGGAAGTTTAGGGATTCAGAAATCTAGGGATCGAGGGATGTTGGAATCTAAGGACAATGGGGTCGTGGAATATTGAGGTCTAGGGATATTGAAGTCTAGGAATGTTGCCGTCGTGGAATATTGTACTCTAGGGAGATGGGGGTCTAAGGACGTACAGTTCTAAGAGTGTAGTATATAGGGGTGTAAGAATAGTATAATATAAAATGTAGAACCCAGATATCTAAGATCATAGAAATGTAGAATTACAGAAATTTAAATAACATAAAATTCCACAAATCTCAAACTCCACAGAATTAAATATTCAGAGGACACCAATGTCTCAACCAGCTTACTACTAAAATTGTAAAATACAATAAATAATTTGAAACATTGTATAATGTCTAAAATTCAAAAAATGTGTACATCTTATAGGGTCACTCTGTTGCGGAAACAGTAATGAAAAGTAAAACGAATATTTAACAATGCCACAGAAACGTAATCCCTCTTTTGTTACATTTGCGAACCGAGTCACGAGTTTGATACATGCAATATAACAACATCTCGTGTACCATATAACATGTCTGTTCTGTTGACTCCCTTATCAGTGACCGACTTTTTCGAAACAGACGGTTAATATTTCAATCTAGAAATTAGTTGAAAAAACCTATGTATTCCCTTATTTAATAAATCCTTTATAGCTGTGACAGTCAACAATGTTTCACCATTCCTGCAACCTAATCTGGATTGTCTTTCAAATATACGAGCTCTGCTTTATCTCTTATCAACGAGCAACTTTTCCGGAAGAATTCGGGGAATGTCGATGGTACTTACTCTTCGGAAAATGAACAGAAAATCGTGAGTACAATTTTTAACTCTTGAGATGATTAGAAATCATCCCTGTTTTGGACTCAGTTTTTCACCTACCAACTCTTTAAATTACAAAGTAAGGGGTTGATGATTATCGAAAAGGGGGTTGTCAATAATTAAGGGTTTTCTAACGTACAAATTTTAATATAGTAGAAACTATATAAGTTTTCTAGCATAAGTAGAAAATAAATGAAAGCCATAGGCTCACTCGACATGAGACAAAGGGTTAAATTTTTGTCTTCTGCTACTTCTTCACCTGCTACTTCTGTCTGAAAACTCGATAACACAAGATATTCCAGTTTTACCTAGAATAACCCAAAATCTGTTTTCTTTCCCTCCCAAAAATTCCCCCAAAGAACACAAGCAAGAAACCTCCCTTATAAACAGAAGTTTCACGGAACTTACTTGTAGAAGCTGTCAAAGGCCACGTGGTTTCCTTCGCGCCGAATACGCCAGCACGTGCTTTCCTATTTGTCCGTAAAAATCATCTCCATCACAAATTCACACCGAAATGTGTCCAACACGTCCGATCGAAAAATCGAAATTTTCCGCGTTAATCAAAGCGGACGAAAATACGTTCGTATATCAACCGTGACACAATTACGCGGCATTCTGCCGCGAGGGGAAGCAGGATGATTTACGAGGCCGGCAAACCGCAGACGGTCAATGACAGCGCGACGGACACAGTAGACAGCGAATCGTCTTAATTAGGCGCGATTAAGCGAGACACGCGCTTTCCTACGTCCCGAGAGAGAAGCGGATAGAGAGAGCAATAAGAACGGTTCTGTGCAACGACTTGCCCGCACGCTGACCATCGTAGCACTGAGCTCTCCTCTCGTTCGAGCGAGCAGCGTAGGGCTTCGAGTACCGCCAGTCCGTCTCGCTCCGATCCGCTTCCTACCCTCTCCGTTACTCTGTGCCGGTATGCAGACTCCACGTGTGGACGCACGTGGCGCACACGCTCTTCCGGGGTGCGATCATCCCTAAATTGCGATATTATACCTGGACATTCTTTAGAATTATTGGGAAATTTTTCTTAAGTCGATTTTACTCGTTTTCAATTTTTGGGAGCTCCGCTACTTGTATACGAGATGTGACACAAAAGTAACGAAACTAATCCAATAAATCATTGTACCTGCAGAATCAGTTCTCCGTGACATTATCACCTTCAAAGTAGTCATCTTCAGCATTCACACACTTTTGCATTCGGTGCTGCCATTGCTGGTAACAGTTCTGGAACGAGGTTTTTGGAAGTCCCTTCGGGAAATTCTCCGTTTCTGCCTGAACCTCTAACTGAGGTGAAATGGGTTCCCATTAAGCAAAATTTAACTTTAGGAAATAAAAAGAAGTCGCATGGAGCCAAATCAGGTGAATAAGGAGGACGCCCCATCACAGTAATATTTTTACTGGTCAGAAACTGCTTGGCAGACAGTGCCGTGTGAGCGGGTGCATTGTCCTGGTGCAACAGCCATCCATCGCTTCACAACTGTGGCCTTTTTTTCCTAATTTTTTCACGAAATCTTTTTAGTAGTTCAATGTAATAGTGTTAGTTAACAGTCTGACCACTGGGAAACCACTCAATCATTACAATTCCATTAATGTCGAATTTTGATTTTGACATGCGTGCTTTTTTGGGTTTTGGGGATCCTGGAGACTTCCACTCCATTGACTGGCGCTTACTTTCTGGGTCATA